ACACACACACACACACACACACACACACACACACACACACACACACACTGTAGAGTGTACAGTAATCTCTAGGATTAGATCTAATTTTCACAAAAGGAACAGCCAAATGTATACATAGTCTGAAAAGACAGAAGACGAATGGCATTTCTGAGGTCAGGAGTGCGGAGCGGGGAAACGCTTGTTTGGTGCCATTTGACTTCACAGCGAGCAGGCCTTGGCCTGTGATTAACAGATAAAAGGGGCTGGTGAGACGGCTCATCGGGTGAAGGCGCTTGTTTCCAGCCACCCCCAAGTCTGATGCACAGGGTGGAAAGAGAGGACTAACTATCCCCAAGTCTCTGACCTCCACATCAGCACCATGACGTGTATCCACACACATACACACAAACATGTCATGAAAGTTCATTAAAAACACACAAAAGATTAAAAATGTAAAAACAAAGCAAAACTTCACACGAAGGCCTAGCTCTGTGGCCAATAAGATTGTGACCGAAGCCCACAGATGTTCTAGAAGGAAGACCAGGGGTATTATGTAACTACTCTTGTCTGAGCACTAAAAGGGCACAAGCAGCCTGGCTTCTCATTCCCAGACTGTGTCTCCTGTCCGTACTCATCCTCCTTTACCAGGAAACTCAGGAACTGTATGTAGTATCAGAATTAGAACCCAGGGCCTCATATTTGTTAGGCAAATGCCCTAAAATGAGCTATATTCCCGAGCCCAGGGGACTCTCTCTCATGTAGACTTAGAGCTGAAAACTGCCCAGAACAAACTGCAGTCCTTAACCCTTTCCACCTGGAGACAGGCTGGGCCGTTTGGTCCCACCGCTAGCTGGAGGGAGGAGATAGGAGCTCTGAGGGTGGACAGCCAGAGCCCTGGGAAGTCCATATGCACAGAGCTTTCCCAACTTCCCTGGACACAGGACAAGAGACATGTATTAGGGTTGTTTATCTTGTTGCCTGGGACTCAGAGGACCTCAGCGGAGGAACAGCTGAGAGGCCGGTGACTAAGCTCCCAGCACTGCGCATCCATCTCTAGGACAGTTCACACTCTCTCACCCGCCTCCCACCGCCTCGGCAGGGACAGCTGGGCCTTCTCTGGTGGACTGGGGAGGGGAACTGCAGCTGAGGAGGTTAGGCACGTGGCCCTGGCATCCAAGCGGAGGATGACCCATGCTGGCAGGAGCTCAGCGTGTGCCTGTGTTGCTGAGGAGCAAAGATGGTAATACTTTCTCACTTCACACAGTCTGTGTGGAATCTGAGGGGAAACAGATTCTTCTCTTAGCCCACTACTCTGGGGTTCAGATCTGATACTTACCACAGCCTAGCCCAAGTACAAACCCAGGAAATTAGGCTCTTTCACATCCCAGCTGGAGTTATCCCCAAGCCAAGGGCAGCCATGATGGCAGTGGCAGGATCTACCCTGCACGGTGCCCAGAGCATGCTGGGTATGGGAAGTCTGATTATTTGGTCTCTTTCCTTTTGGAGGTCGGGGTGTCTGACATAAGCCAATCATTTCAACCTGTGGGCATCTTCCCCACAAAACAACAACAACAACAACCCAAACAAAACAAAGTCACAACCCTCCTCAAACAAAATCCCCACGATGATTTACGTAAATCCAGGTCTTTGGTCTTTCTGGTTAGGGACAAGCTGGCTTCCAATAGAGAGGGGACTTCCAGAGCAGGGTCGGAGGACACATGCTGAGGGAGCCAGGCTGACGCTACAGAGACCTGTGGATCTGCAGCTGCTTCTTCCCACCCGGGCTGGGCCAGTGGGACACAGCAGGAGGAAGTCTCAGGCTCTAGGGCTACCTGGCTGGCTGTGGGCAAGCCACAGGGGAGGCGGCTCAAGCTTTCTGAGGCTCATCAAGAACTCAGGACAAAGGTTCTCCTTTCCCTTCCTCTCCTCAGCCTGTGACAAATTTGGGTTTGAACCCTGATTCTGCCACCAGCCCTATTCCCTCATGTCTGACTAGGCCATGTTTTTGTACTGTTGTCCTGCTTGTCTCACAGGACCACACTGCACCCTGACTGACGGGAGGCAGGTTCAACGTCCCGTGTTCAGCCTTCTCTCAGGAGACACCTGGCAGGCGGTGGTTATTATTTTAAACTTGAGCCAGGCCACACTATGTGGCAGGAGGGTTTTTGTTCGGCACGGACTTCCTGTGAATTGGAGCATCTCCCAGGTCTGGACTTGCCCCTACAGGCCCTGGCCTCCTCAGCGGCCAAGGCTGTCTCCAGACCTGAGCTGCGTGCTGCTGCGCTGCCTCTCACAGACACGCATACCAAGGGCAGCGACCAGGCCGCACCATGTGACAGACCGCTCCCTTCCAACTCCAGCTGACCCAGGAGCAGCTAGGGTGCCAACCATCAAGGCAGGATATCCCATGACTGTTGCTGACAGACAGCTAAGTTGGAGTGCAGCAGCCCTGTGTGGCTTCCTTTTCGGCTCTCTGGAGTTCTAACTATGTACATTATTATTAATGTATGTACATTATTATTCTGTCTAGAAAAAAATAATACCACACCATGGTCCAGGCTGGCCTGGAATCCATGGCTGGCCTCTTGCCTCAGCCCCACAAGTGTGGGGCAATTTGGGTGTATCATGCTGGCGTTACCTTTTTGACAGCACACTGGAAGCCTGTCTGCTTGTCCTTCATTCTGTGGACCTCACCGAAGGAGCCTCTGCCCAAGCGGGGCTGGTGTGTCACCCAGTGGACCTCTTCTCGGTACTCATAATCCACTGGTCTGAGTTTCTGCGGTTGGAAAGGAGGAGGTCAGCTTCAATGACCGAGGGCAGCAGAGGGATGAAGGGCTACAGTGGGGAAGCCTCTCTGGCTAGCAGCTATGGGGGCCGGATGGCCACATCCAAGGATAGCACCAGCCCTAAGGCTGGGGTTATAGAAAGACAGGCCAAAAGGGATTGAGAGGAGTAAGAAGCAAAAGCAACCTCCACGGGCTGCCTGGGGGCTGGGCAATTCCTGCGATGAAAAGGAGAATCAGCAATGACTTTGATAATGGAAAAACATAGTTCAGTAACTACAAGGTAGGAGAGAGACGGGGCTAGGACAATCTTAAAAGTGAAGAGAGTAAGTCCATCCAGTTGAACAAAATGCTTCAAATCCCAAAGTTATTCAAGCAAAGAAGTAAAGGAAAAGGGGGAAGGGGGTGCAGCCCTCTGATATCTTCATTCAACACACTATTCAGCGACAGTTAAGCTACCTGGAAGAACTGAAAATGGAGAGAACTAGGGAGGCTGTGGGAAGTGATGCTGGTTGGGGGTTGAGCTGATGCTTGTATATTGATGCTAATTACTGGCAATCAAGATCTGGTTACTTCCTGAATACACCTACCCTTATTGTGTAAACCTGCCTAAGACAGTATACCTGATTGGTTGATCAAAAGGCCTATACCTGGGCAGGGCAGAATGGGGTAGGCGTGGGGAAGATTCCCAGGCTTCGGGTTCAAGAGAATCATGGGAAACGGACCAGAAGAGGAGGAAGGAGGATGCCACGATGGGTTAGTATGGAGGAGCAGCCACGTGGGCCAGGAGGAAGGGCTCTGAGTATGGCATGGATGGAGAAAACACCAAGATAAAAAATATAAGCAAGTATTTATAAGATTATGAATGGAAGGTAGCCCAGATGAGGATGGTTAAGGTGGATGGCATTGGATGGGGGCTGGGAGGTGAATGGTGAGGTTATTGAGACAGCCAGCGTAGGTAGAAATATCTGCCTGGCCCAAGGTAATAAGGCAAGGATAAAATCTAACAGATGTCTGTGTCTTATTATTTGTGATGGTGGGTTAAATAATATTGTCACAATAATTATATGGCAAATAATAATACATAACAATATTTGGCCCAGTATCATTTTTATATTATAACTGTGGCTATAGGTAGAGGCTGTATGACTGCAAAGTCAAGGTTTGCTCATCTCCCTGAGGCTATTGGGGTTGGGTGGGACCCTTAAGAGCTGTGGCCTAAAGGGAGAAAGTTAGGGGGTATGCCTAACATTGGGGTTTGCCCTTCAAGAGGATGCTGGAGCCACACCCTTCATCTCTCTCTGCTTCCAGATCTGACGGAGTCAGGAAGTCTCTACCAGGTGCTCAGCCGTAAGGCACTGGGCCCCAAGCAAACCCTTCTTCAAGTTAATCGTTTAGGGCATTGTGTCATGGTAACTGAATCCCCTGATTCGGTCCCCAATGAGCAAACTGATTTGTCACCATGGGTGTGAGGACTCTGCTATCTGGGGCACCCTCCCTCAGCGTCTGCTGACACGCTGCTTCCAGAGCAAGCCCCACCTGGACTCCCAGCTGTGGACCCTGTCCGGGAGGTGGCGATGGGAGTTTAGGGGGTGAGTTACCTCAGTAAGCAGGACACCCTCGTTGTCCTCGGTCTCAGGGCTGAGCCTCTGCAGCTTGGCACTCCCGGAGGACCACGTCTTAGCCAGGCTGGCCAGGCTGTTGGCCTGGCCCGAGCTCACACTACCTTGTAGTGCGTGGATGAGATACTCCTCCACAGGGACCTTTTCTTGGGCACCTTGAGCTGGGTAGCTGGACTCCAGGTGGGGGCCACGCAGGGGCTTCTGACTGTCTCTGTAGGCCAGTTTGCTTAAGTGGGGTAGGCCAGACAGGGGTTGCTGGCCTCTAATACCAGCTAGTTTGTCCAGGAAGAGGGATTCCAGCGGATAGGGTCTCCAGGGCTCCAGAGGGTAGAATGGGAAGTGATGGGGCAGTCTGCTGTAGGGGAAAGGGTGAGTGGAATGGGGGAGGGGGCCTACAGCCTGGGGGTGGTGGAGTTTCCACACGTGGTTTAGACATTGCAAGGGGCTGATCAATTTGTGGAGTTCTGGCCGAGGCGTCACTGGTTGCAGGCCTTCGCCTTGTTTCTTAAAGCACAGGTGGCCAAGGCCTGGCCCCTTCAGAGGCTTGGTGAACTGGAAGACATTTCTTGCATAGAGGTTGCCTAGTGGAGACTCATCTTCCTGCAAAAAATACAGGTGTCACAAGGCCCGGTCCAAACAGCCATGAGCCGGGACCAGGGCACTGGGCAGAGGGTCTCACCTGCACTGGGATGGTGCAGCTCTCTTGCTCAGGGGTTCTGGGCAGGGGCTTGGCTAAGGCCACTCCTGCCTGGGCCAGAGACTTCGACCTCCTCTTCTTACGTTTTTTTCGGGCTTTGCTGTGACGCTTTCCCTTCCGGTACACAGGGGCCATTTTGCCTTCGGTTGCATGGGCCACATTGTTGGGGATTTGATCAAGACTCTCAGACTGGCTGTCAAAAAAGGAGTGGGTGCACGCATTTTGAGTGCAAGAAAGAAGAGGGAATGGCTCACAGAACTCTGTGTTGTCACTTTCAGGGCCAATCCCAGCTCTGTCATTCCAGTCACTCACGCTTAACAACAAGGGACACATGTGAGAGACGAGGTGTATGCTAGCACAGACAGCTGCCCTCGGGTGATAGGCGCCTATGAGAACCACTGTCACATCTGTGGCCCACTGTTGACCAAAATGCCATTATGCGGCCCCTCTGTATTTATGTAGTATGGGCAAGTTCCTAAGCCCCAAAGAATGCCAAGCTTTCTCATTTATGAAAGCAGTGCAGGGTTTTCTACCACGTGGAGTGGAGATGAGGTTTAAACGGAAACAGTTCATAAGCCTTAGTGCCTAACCCCTCAGCAGGTGGCCCCACGAGCTGCTTGTTGCCACGGCTGGGGCCAGTTCTTTCCGGGCAGCCATCTTAGTGCTGACAGGTCAGGGCGGCTTTATTTCTGTCACCTCTACCCGTAGCCTTTGGAGACATCTAGTTGCCATGGGGACAAGAGAAGCTGCCAGGTGGACTCCCATTATGGCTGGTGTGGCTACTAAGTTCTGCCAGGCTCCCAGCCCTGTTGGGTCCTGAAGAAGCTGGTCGAAAGGGCTGCTGTGAAACAGCTGGAGCAGTGACCACAGCCACCCTTCCTGGGATGCTGGGAGCCAGCCAAAAGAAAAAGAGTTCACCAGAAACCCCATTCTCTGGGCCAAAAGGTGCCCAAGGCAACATGAGAAATGCCTAGACTCTCAGGAAGACACTCACCCTGACCCCTTCCTATCACTGGCAGTTTCCCAATGTCAATGATCAACCTGGTGGAAAGAGGGACCCCTGTCTGGGATAGACTCTGATCATCTCTGGAGAATAGGCGAGCCTGGAGACAGACAGAGCCTGGTGCTAGCTCCCATCCATGGGCCAGCGCTTGAATAAGATCCCTGGGGCTATCTCCCCTATAGGATGGTAAAAGTGGCCCCTCTGGACTGTGCTGACCCACGGCTATATATACCAGTTCAAAGTTGCTGTTCCCGGTAGCCTCCCGGCTGATGGGAAACAGGGGTGTATGAAGGTCTCTGAGGAGAGCAAAAATAAACTGTCAAGGTGACGGGAGGCTGGGGCAGCTTTTGAAACGCTGACTGGGCTGAGAGTAGCTGGGCCAGGAAGGCTAGGTGGCTGCCAGGAGCAGAACCCAGGTGCTGAAGCAGGGACCCAGAGGCCTGGTGGGCACGGCCTGGCAGGCAGCTGGCAGGTGGGCTTGGTGTCAGACCCGACCCCCCTTCCTGGCTCCAGCTTGCTTCCTTACCTGTACTGCTGTGACCCTGCTATGAAAATGCGCTCTGAAAAGGTGGGGCTGAACTCTTGGCTATTCTCACCTGCAATTCAAGGAAGAGGGGTCAGATTAGCGGGGGAAGAGAACAAAGGCAAGCTCAGCGTTTGGAAGGGAGCCTCTTACAGAGAGGCCCATGGCCACTCTTCTCCCTGTCATACTCCCCTGTCTGGTGGCTCACCTCCTGGCTGCCACCTTATCCTTCGCTGGGGGCTATCCTGTCCCAGGCTTGCCAGTCAAGAGGGGGGAGCCTGCCTGCCTCACTTACAGCGAAGCTTCCTAGAACATTCCACACACCACAGGGCACACACAGTTGTCCCCTTGATAAACAAGCGGGTATGTATTTATGTTTAGGTGTATAAGTTTATGTGTGTATTCACTTCATTTTAGTTCATTTCTGTTTTCTCATTTCTTCTCAAAAGCCAACCGGAAGGCTTGGGGAGGTGAAGCAGAGGTTGTAGATGTGGAGAAAGGCCATCATGCCAGAGGCTACCAGGTTCTCTGGGTTCTAGCTCAAGACATCTGTGCTAGAGGGTGGTGCTGATGGAGGAGGGCGGCACTGATGCAGGCTGGGGGCCTGTACCTCGGAGCACCCCGAAGCTCTTGTTTCCCAGGGAGCCATCAACATCTATCATCTTGAGGCAACAGGGGTAGAAATGGGAAGAGCCAGACTTGGCCTCACCTGATGAGGCTGGCTGTACAGACTGGCCCAGTAGGCCTCAAAGCAGGCTGCTTGTTTTTGGGGGTGGGGTGAGGTGGGTGGACCCATTTCTGGTTGAAGGTAGTGAGGGTCTGTGGACCAGAGGCATTTTCTACGTCTCCCATAATCCACCCTAGCACTTTGACAGCCCCCGCTTATACAGTCGGGGCTAGACCCTCATTGTGCCCGGTGAGACCCTGACCTCGCTCTCCCACGGGGACTCCGGGGCTGGCCTCTCATACCCAGCCGCGCACCTGCACACCCACTCACTCACTCGCCTGCGTGCTCAAAGCGACCCCACATCCTTACATTCTGCCTGGGCGATGATGGAGATGGCGGGTGGCCCCCCCTCAGAACCGTCCTTCGCTGTGCCTTTGGTGATCACATCGTTCAGGATCTCCCACTTCCCACAGAACACGGGGCTCTTCTCCACGACCTCAAGCTTGTAGAGGCAGCTCTGCTCCTTCCCTAGTGACTGTGTCTTCTCCTTGGCTTTGGCGAGCTCCTTCTGCTGCCCGACTGCTGAGCCAGGAGCGCCTGGACAGGCCACTTCCATCACTGCCATCTCCCAGGCTCGTGCTCACCTTGAGGGGGACAAACACAGACTGGGTCACTCCAGATCGCAGGCCACACGTTACACATGTTGGAGGGGAAACGTGTGTGTGTGTGTGTGTGTGTGTCAGGGCACGCAAGGGGTCCTTGGCTCTTTATGTCGAGTGTACTCATCTTCCAAATACCCTGAGTGGTAATGAAGCCAACCCCGGAACATGCACAAGCATCCCATTTGTGGGAACCCTGATCTACTGGTACTGCAGTGTAAATGAATTCCTCTCGGGGCTGGAGAGATGGCTCAGTGGTTAGGAGCACTGGCTGCTCTTCCAGAGGATCCAGGTTCAATTCCCAGCACCTACATGGCGGCTCACAACAAACTGTAAGTCCAGTTCTGGAGGATCTGACATCCTCAACCAGACAACATGTGGGCAAAAACACCAATGAACATTTAAAAAAAAATCATTTTAAAAACTGGATTCCTCGGCTGGGTCTTCAGAGGGATGGGAGTCATTTTCTTCAGTGGCAAATTGTGCATGCTCCAGTAAGTAAGCCCACACCCACACTCATGCAA